AATAAAACTTTCTATAGTACAGTACTATTGGAAGTTTTATTTCCCTCTTTTCGGGAAATTCGTATAAAATTATTTTCATTTTTGAAACATGGTATTGTAGTGGATATGTTATAAATCCTTGAGGTAAGGATCCTTAAAGGCTATGGATTATCTCCAGAATCTTGGGCGCCTAAAGTGGGAAAAATAATCAGGTCAAGTAGGGTCGTCGTCCGTAATATAATTATCGAAATAATGATTCTAAACACAAATGAAGCACATTTTATTATAGTGTCAAGTAATATTTAGTGTTGAAAAAATTCAAAAATGGCCAAACCCCTAGGACTGTGTGTTGATATATCTGTCAGTAAGTTTATCCTTTATAAGAAAAAAAAGTAGAGAAACAGTGAATATAAAGACAGGAGACGAAAAATTAGAAGTGACTGATTTTCGGTATCTAGGAGATAGGAGTCAGATAACTCAGGATGGAAGGAGCCAGAGATATAAAATAGCGAATAGCGCAGGGTAGAGTCGCCTTTAACAAAAAAACTACTTCGCGAACGATTAATTTAGAAAACCAAAAAATTTTGTTAAAGGTATCTGTCTGGAGCACAGTTCTGTACGGGTGCGAACGTGGACATTAACACAACCCCAATTTAAGCTACGAAAATTTTATTTTATTTTTGTTTTTTTTTACCAGACTGAGTAACTAAAATAACTTATCAAAAATAGTGGATTACTATACACGTTACGCACTTGCATTTTTCCGCATCAGTTCACATTTTCAACGAAAAAACTTTAGCGCTTTTCTGTTACTCAAATAATTTAAAGTCCAATTTAGTTTCGCGTCCCTCGGGAATCGACTTTTATTATTTCGACTGCTTACCTCAGACTGTCTCTGCGTCCAAAAGGCCACCGGAAGTTGAAGACACGCGTCATTCCTTCCGTTCATGAGTTGCGATGTTTTCCGTGCCAGCGTGACCACTGTTCGCTATAAATTTTTCTGGTCGAAAGTACAGTCCCAAAACGCGCCAGCGGAGTCACTGAACGTTCTGTGTCGCGCACGGCTTTTCCATCGCGAAAACGATAATAATAAACGTACGAAAAACCATGATCGTAATCGAATCAATAACAAACAACACCACCACCACCACCTTTATTGCAGGATCCCGACATAACATCAATTAAACACGTACCTACAATTCGATGCCCTTGTTTCCCCCATACTTTTTCCCCATCAACAAAATTTATTATGAAAACTGTCAACATCCGCTGGCAATACATATTTTTGCCCGTGTTGTTTTTATTCGCAACGTAATGAATAGACGCCGACGCATAGCGTCGTCGTCGGTCGGTCGCACGTACGAGACTCGGTGGGGGAGTTTTTTATTTTTGATACGTATCAATGACGGACGGTTGGAAATCATTTCGAAAACGATGATGTCATAAGTGTTTGATAACGTCTTACATCACGGAGTTCGTTATAATCAGGGTTTTGAAAGCTAGAAAGAAAAAATTGCCCTTTTCGTATTCTAAAACGTTTGTCGATAAAAATATGGGTCAGTGGACCACTGAAATCCTGTCTTCTCATTTGTCAAGAGATAATTAAGAACTGGGATTTATAGATGGTCCATTACGCATTAATCTGTACTACAGATAATCTGATAATTATTGGTGAAAATTATTGAACTATATACTGTATAAGTAAATAATAACACTGTCTGATGAAAAAAATGATTAAAAAACATATGCACGATTACGAAAACATTAATGTAAATATTTTCGATTATCCATTAATTTTTTCTTACCATTATTGAAAGTGTTTATAATCGACTAATACTCTTTTCATCAGTAACGGAGATAGGTATCTACTACTGAATAATATTTTTTATACCAAAGTATTGGTTAATGAAAAACTATTATTCATTACAACCGCATTGGGTAATTAAACGGCAATGAATAGTATTTCTATTAATTTCGCAATAAATTTATGAATCCATAAATAGGCTACTTAGGCAATGCAAAAAGTAATATGTATTACTTTGGTACATATTTTTTACAATATGTATAGGTGTATTAAGTACTAATTTGTTTGGAAACACTATTTAATTTTTTGTGGACTGTAACCAAAAAAAATAACACAATTTAAACAATTATTTTTTTATATACAGATATTAAAATAATTAAATTCAACAATGTCTATTGTTTGTTCGGATGCGAAACGTTATAAAACTCCATTAAGTCCGTTCGACGTGGAAGATTATAAACGTATACAGGGAGTACATAGTTATATTCATATTTAAACTTTTGGTTTACGTAAAACAGATAGTTTTAGGAGTTGAAGTGTTTTGAATGCATTGAATAGTTATATATTTTAAAAGGAAGAATTGTGATCCCTGTTTAAATTTTAATTGGCAAAATTATCAAATTATACAAATATGGGACAAACTGTATTGCAATTTGAATTAAAAATTATTTTGTGTGCGGAAATAAAATGAATGAATTAAATAATAAAACTGAAATAACGTCACGACGTCACGAGTCACGCTAATTCACTAATTATTAAACTTTCAATTCATTGTAAAATTGTATTGAAAACATAAACGAAAAGGAAATCAAGACAAAAATAAATTTGATGTTTTTTTGCTTCGGTTAATACAGAAACAAATTAGTAATTTTTAAAACATTTTTGAAGGCGACTGGAAGACGAAAAAGTTGTTTTTGAAAGAACGACTTCTAAAAATTTTAAAATTTTCGTTTATTGGACGAAAAATACAAATCTAAAGCTATTCTGAATTGTACATAGGTAAATATTGTATATATGAAGAGATGTTAATTTTTCTTATATAACGGGCATAATTTTGTTTTATGTTAAAATATCAACGCCTATGTAAGAAAATAAAATAACTAAATTGAACCTTTTCTTAAGCATATTTTGAAGATAAATACACTTATATACAAAAAAATGTTTTAGATAGAAAGGAACCGCCAATATACAACAATAATTATTATTAATTATTTTTGTATTGTATATGCATACCACCTAATTTTGTTAACTGGTTAAAAAGATATTCTATTATTCATAATAATGATGGAAGAAAGCAATTAATGATAAATGAATAACAATACTTTTTTGAATGCACGTAAACTTCCACTTACGCTCCGCAACCATATCACAGTGAATTGTTAATGACAAATTAATAGTTAGGTGGAAAATTTACAGGTAACTGACCTTACAAAATCGTTACAACCTATCTGTAATTTTTATACTTTCGACGATTTTAGACGTTCTTTTAATGGAGAATTGTATTTCCACCGTTCTTCCGTTTCCTTATGGAACAGCTGAAAAAAGAACACATTTTCTGATTAGACACAGATACTATATACTTGATGACANTGAATGTCAGAAGAAATTGGATTTAAAGAACAACGAATATTAAATGTCAACTCTGAGGTTACCTACTTATAAAAATTAGTGAAAAAATTGGCATACTTTTTTGTAAAGTGTCTAATCTGGACCAAGGCACGTATGTAGACTGTCTACTTGGAAGGGGTCATATAAAAAAATACGTCTTAAAACTTGGATTAGAGTTGTTCTTTTCGAGATATGCTAAGATGTTCTATTTCTTTTATTTAAAATATTATTTTTAACTGCGACACAGCACAGCTATTGTTCACATTCAATTAAACATTGTAAAAGGGAGACTCCCGTCGATTTAGAGAACGTTAGAGACAGGTAGCTGCATGCATGCTAGTCACTAGAAGAAGAGACATGCCCTACCATCATATCTACTAACAAGAAACTCTAAAATGCTTCTTGCACATTGCATAATTGATTGATATGGAACTTGCGCATGTATTGTAATTATGCGCAAGCAGGTAAATAGACAGTATAATATGACTTACCTTGATGAAGAAAGTTGACTTGAATAATTACTGAATGGCACGTCATTGGCATCGAAAAAATCGTCTTCTCCTTCTGAACTTGAATACGACGTTTCTGGAACCACCAAAGAGTCCGCATTGGAAGCTGCTGTAACCAATAAAAAGACCGAAAACTAGTAGAATTTTATTACAGTATTGCACATAATTGAACATGCCCCATCACGTAAAAAGCATAATTATACTTCTGACAACAAGTCCTGCTTTTAGAGTAATTTAATCATGAAAATGAATTAATGTTTAAGCTTTTACAGATTGAATTAATCAGTTAGTAATTGCTCAATACAGCTACAGGCAGATTATTATTAGTTAGACTAAGCAAAGGAAATTAAACAGGTGGTATTAGAAGTAAATTCAAAGAGTAGGAAATTATATATGCAAGGATTACAATGATGTGATTTTTGAGAAATTAATTTTTGTTATAAATCCCTTAAAAGTTAAAAAATCAATAAACAGTGTAGATTTATAGCTTTGAGCTTAAATTTAGGTCATAAGAAACAACAAATATATTACATATTACACAAAAGCGATTGAAATCTTTTCAAAAATAATTTTTCTGTCTATAAAAATAAGACAATCATTTAAACGTGTATTACCAAAATTGTTAAGTGAAGAGAGAATAAATACGATAACAGAGGTCTTCTGATAACTAATAAAACGGTCAGCACTTTTAATATCAGATGCAGAATGTATAGTATAGAACCTACCAAGTGTTCTGCTAATTCTTCTGGCATTTTCAATACATTCTGAGCCTAACTCAATTCCGTGTTGAACAACAGAATCGCCAGCAAAAGTGACTATGTCTATAACAACAAGAATGACTCATGACATGACAAAGGGATTAAATTAATATTTATATCCATTTCAACATGTATGAATACACAGTTAATATTCCTTCATTATATGACGAAAGAAGTCTTTTTCATTGCAAGTTGAAGCTGAAGATACATGATTTAAGAAAAGCGGATGATAGAGAAATATTTTTCATTTTTAATAGAAACGTGTTATTTTTTATCAAAAAGAAAAGTAAAATATGCTAATTAAACCCATCAACTCAATGCACAGGGCTGGATTAATCAAATCACAAATCAGCCCCAATCACCCTCCAATATGGTGTTCTCCATTTATTTCTGTAATTTCAATTAATAATTTTCCCTGGTACATTTATACGACCAGTCCGCTACTGGCCAAGAAGAAATATTATAACTTTAGTAAATAAAAAGCTTGTTACGAATAGTTTTCAGCTATAGAGAAATGATGTACCTATAAGTAAAATATTTTTTTAAACAAAGAGAATAGTATCTAAATTACAAGTTACAAACAATTAAGAATACTTTTTGTGGAAACAGTGGGTACAAAAACTAACCTGAGACATTTGATATGTTTGTGGTAGACACCTG